GATCATAAATTCAAATACTATCAACTGTAATAAGGTAATTAAGGGTTTATTATTAAATAGTTAAAAAAAATTAAAATATATTTTAGGTGGTAATCACCTTAAACTTTATAAAAAATAAAAAATAAACGAATATATATATATATATATATATAATTAATTAAAAAAATCTATGTATGTTCTTGTTTATTGACGATAGATAAATTTTTTTGAATAACTTTATTGTTTATTATCCAAAAGGAACAGGAAAAGCTGTTACAAGTAAATAATTTCAGTCATACGCTAGAACAATTCAAGTAATATCTCAATTTGTACAAAGTTAGTTCACATTAAGAGTGCGTTTGATTCACGAAATGTAAGATTATCGACGAGAATAAGATTATCATAATATAACATTACCTAATATATTACTGGGAATATTACATTGTTATGTTTGATTTATTTAGCATGAATGTAATATTACAGTATTTTGTTAAAAGAATAAAAAATTATTAGAATATATATTTTACCAAATTGTCCTTATTATATATTTGTTTTTTTAACAAGTTGAATTTTACTATAATTAATTTATATACTTTCTTTAAAAATTTTAAATTCATAAAATTCATATAATTTTTTTTTACAAAATTAAAAAGATAATTAGATTTAATGAAAGAGTAAAATTTTATTTTAATCTCTAAACTTCATATAAAATTCTAATTATGATTTTTTTTTATAAATTTAAAATAGTTTAAAGATAAGTTTGTAATTTAATATTCGTAGAATTTTTTTTATTCAAAGACAGAAGAAATATATTTTTGAAAATTTTTAAGGGTATTTTAGTCTAAAACGCCGAGAATGTAACAATACCTAAGAAAAGCGGGAATCACATTCATGGTAATAAGCCCCAAAAATACTACTGTTGGTAATAACTTATTACCGAGAACTGAGAATATTTGTCATTCTAACGAAAGAATGTCATTCAATTCCCCTCGCTAATCCAAGATTATCGGAACCAAACGCCCTAAAGCTATCGCTTCTATCTATACACTTAGTGTACAAAATTATATTTTATTAGTGTATAAAATATTAATCCCCCCCACCACATATATATATACTAGAGGCAAAGCGGGAAGCCAAGAAAACGGTAGCTAAAGCAAAGGATAAGGCATATAAGGAAATGTACAAGAGATTAGACACCAAGGAAGGACAAAATGGCATCTTCAGACTTGCAAAATCTAGGGAGATTAGGAAAAAGGATCTAGGTAACATTAGGTTTATTAAGGACAACAATGGTGTTCTTTTAACGAAATATCATGATATTAAGAGGGTTTGGGGTAGTTACTTCTTTGGCTTATTAATGACGGTGCCTCTCCATGTAGAGATAGTATCGTTGATGGGTCAGCCGACCATCATACTACGGCCAATGACTGCCCTACAAGTATGATTGGGTTTGAGGAAGTCAAAATGGCTCTTAGAAAGATGGGAAGGAGAAAGCTGTCGGTCCTGATCAAATTCCTATCACTGTGTGGTTAGCCCTAGGAGATGAGGGAGTTAAGTGGTTGACCAACATCTTTAATTATTTTAGAGACTGCCAAGATGCCAGAGGAGTGGAGAGAGTCTACGGTGATACCAATCTATAAAAATAAAGGAGATCCCCAACGTTGTGGTAACTACAGAGGTATTAAACTACTCAGCCATACCATGAAGCTATGGGAAAGGGTGATAGAGGCTAGGTTGAGACAAGTTACTAGGGTTTCGGAAAACCAATTTGGCTTTATGCCAAACAGGTCTACCACGGAGGCGATTCATCTACTTCGACGGCTTATGGAGAAATATAGGGAAAAGTCTAGAGATCTTCACATGGCGTTCATTGACCTTGAGAAGGCTTATGATAGCGTTCCTCGCGATACGATCTGGAAGACTTTGGAAACGAGACGGATACCAACTGCTTATATCCGGGCGATTCTTGATATGTACTGTAGATCTACTACTTACGTCAGGACTACAGTTGGTGACACCGAGGCATTCCCGGTGGAAATCGGACTCCACCAGGGGTCGGCTCTTAGCCCTTACATCTTCGCCTTGATTATGGATGACATCTATTGTGCGACACCAGACGGTGTACTTGGTGTATGCTTTTCGCTGACGACATTGTCCTAGTTGCTGAAACAAAATCTGAGTGAATAGTAGACTGGCTACCTGTAAGACTGCTCTGGAAGAAAAAGGTTTAAGGATCAATATTGAAAAGATAGAGTATTATGTTTAAACTTCAATGGGAACCAAAACGATGAAGATGTAGAAGTATGCATAGGAGGACACGTTCTTCCCTCAAAGGATTGTTTCAAGTACTTAGGGTCTATGATACATAAAGATGGGGGTGTAGATGATGACGTTACATACCGTATAAAGGCGGGATGGCTAAAGTGGAGGGCCGCTAGTGGAGTTTTGTGTGACAAGAAGGTGCCTCTAAAACTTAAGGAAAATTTTATAGAATGGCAATAAGACCAGCGCTGTTGTATGGATCAGAATGTTGGGCACCCAAGAAGGATCACGTAAGGAGGATAGAGGCCGCAGAAATGAGAATGCTTCGATTGACATGTGGTAGGACTCTGTGGGATATGACGACAAACTCTGCTATTAGGATGTCCTTAGGGGTGGTGTCTGTTTCCGAAAAATTGAGGGAGGGAAGACTACGGTGGTTTGGGCACGTCCTTAGGCGACTACCGTCGGATGCGGTCAGGAGGGTAGAGTCGATTACAGTTGACGGTGCCAGAAGGAAAGGACGACCAAGGCGGAAGTGGGATGACTGCTTGAGATCTGATTTGATGGATTTAGGCCTTACCGAAGACATGACCTATGATAGGAAATTATGGAGGCTTAAGACTAGGGTAGTCGAGTAGTGTGGGTCACATCTATAGGATGTATCATCTTTGTCTTCTTTTAAAGGCATTTGTAGTAATTTCCATGACTTTTACTTTTTATACTTTTCTGTTATTGGTATTTATGAAAGATTAGAACTGGGCTTGATATCGTTGTCTTCTGTGTATCATTCTCGTCATGTTTCCTCTGTATAAATATAGCCGGGTCTTATGTTTCTGTCTATATGCAGAGATTCTTTCGTAGGGATTATTTTGCAGGGATTACTCCCCATTACAGAAGCACATATGGTATTAATGACTGCATATGAATACTGTTTAGCTATGTATTTATGTAATTATTTATACATGCATTGCATTTTATCTATATTTTTAATTTTCTGACTGTCGGAGGTCTTTCACGGAAGCTATTCTCAACCTGGCGTTGGGGGCAGCCTACTACCCTACCTCCCCCTTACCCCATACATATGGGAATTAGGTTTTGTTGTTGTTGTTGTTGTTGTTGTTAGAGTGAGACTAGATGATGTCTACATGCCATAAACCTGATTACACATCAAATAGCTAAGCTTGCGAAGATTATGTCTATCGAAAATACGATCTTCATAACTCCTTCACCTAAGATCTTACCCTTAATACAATTTAAGAGCACCTTGAAACCTTTTGTTTACTAAATCCTTTGTTCGTAAAATAATAATACAAATTATAATATTTACTTTATCGATCATAAATAATTTTATTTATTATATTTTTTTTATTAATCTAATGTGATTACAAGTGACAGTATATTTATGTAATTATCAATGTTTTAATTCGGAATATCTTAAAATAAAAATAATTTATTTAACCACTTAGATAGTTGAATTAACAATTCCTCTAGAATCATTTAATCAAATAAAGATACGTCATATTGATGTTTTTTTTAAATAAGTAGTATTTGATATTTAACTGTGTTTAATTTTACTCCTCACAAGTTAACTCAATGATGATATATTTACATAATCCAATATTGAATGCTACGGTTGTAGTAATTGATATGTTTTTTTTTCATTTTTATAAAATATATTCTTAATGTTGTATTATTATCTGAATTATTATTATGTAAAATTAAACTTCACAAATACTTTAAATTATTTGATTGAACGAAAATACTTTTAGAATTTTATATCTCATTATTAATTAATAATATATTAAATTATACATCATCAATATATAAAATTATGTATTTATAATCAAATTAATAATTTTCTTGTTTCTTTCATATCTATATTATAATTTAGGCTTAAAGATTATTTTTATTCATGTAGTAAATTCAATTTATCATTTTTACTCTATTTTTGTATCAATTCAATCTTCAAAGTTATTTAATGTATTATCCTAAACTTTGAACCCTAACTTCTAAATCATACACTAATCCTTAAACCTTAAATTCTAATTCATATCTTAAAAATCTTAAATAATAATAAATATTTAAATATTGATATGATTAAACAATTTCGGAATTAAATTAATGTAAATCTATAATAAATGTAAAAATAATAAATTTGGTCTAATTTAAGGAAAAATAACCCCTAAACTAATAATTCATAATAAAAATTTATGTTTATATTTTATTATAATATTATTTTTAAAATTTAGAAATCAATTAAAATTTATACCTTATATGTTTTAAAAGATAAAATAGAGCGAAGGCTTCTTTATGGTTCAGTTGTCATCCTGAAGCAAGAATAAATTTATGAAAACTGACCTTTTGGAGTCTCATCAGGCATTTATCTGTCACAGTCTCCGCTTGGGCAAAAACTTAGCAAGGTGCAGGTGCAGCTTTTCTCTTTCTCAAGCTCCATCATTCATCTCCCCCACCATTCTACTTTAGACTACAATTCAATAACCAATAAACCTAACCCCCTCCTTCATTTGTAATTCTATTATTCATTCTCCATTCCTTATAACCTCAAAAGAATAAAATAAAATTTCTTCTTTTGTGTGAAACAACCAGACGATGCTTCAGTCCTCTCTTCGTACGCTAACCCAGCAAAGGTAAGCAAAAAAAAGAAGTATCCCAAAGCTATCGACAGTTGCATCTTAATCATATTTTATTCTTACACAGAGGACAGTGCTAGCTGCAAACGCAACCGAAGGACAGGGAATATGGAAAATGGCTGGAGCATGTTCCCGGGGAACCATGGCCAAACTGGTTATAGCAACATTAATATGACCTGGGATGTACGGGAGCTTAATCCTACTGCAGGTACGAGATTCGAATGGGGAGACAACAATAGTATCAACGCCTTCAATTTGTACCCCACCGTTAGTAGTAGCGGCAGCACCGCCGCTACCAGGGCAGAGATTGTTTCATCACCCTCCTCGACACTTCCTGAGTTAAGTACTGCCCCATCGCTTATGTTCTTTCCTCACCATGTCAATGCCACGCTCGCCCATCACTTGAGCCAGGAACACTCGGTTTATACCGGCGATGGATCTCGTATGCACCCCGACCCTCACCTCGTTTGCTTGAATCTAGGCAAGAGGCACTACTTCGAGGATTCCTCCGCATCTATGACTGAGCGACACCTGGTCGGTGGTGATGGGTTCTCCGTAGGAAAGAAAGGCAAAGCGTGCTACCATATTAGTGGTGGCGAAAGCGGCGGCGTTGGTGGTGGTGTTGAGCCTCCTTCGTCATCTATAGCCGTCATGGGGACTCCGGCGACGGTACCACGGTGTCTAGTGGAAGGTTGCGATGTTGAGCTTGTGAATGCAAAAGAGTATCACCGGAGGCATAAAGTTTGTGAGATGCACTCGAAGGCACCCAAGGTGGTTGTGCTAGGGTTAGAGCAGCGTTTCTGTCAGCAGTGTAGCAGGTGACCCCTTTCAATTCTACCATTCATTTATCTTTTTCCATTATACGGCTAAAAGTATGAACAAAAAGGTACATTACTCTTCAGTTGCATTTCCCATTTTATCTAAGCAACATTTTTGTTTTTGCTTTCCTGCATTTGTCTTCATTCCTTTACTTTTTCCTATTAGGGTTATATATATTTTTATACCGACATGAAAGTAATAAGGAAATTGCGGTAATTTATAAAGAGATGATGTATGCATGTGGAAATGGGCATAGGTTTCATGTGGTGTCAGAATTTGACGACTCGAAGAGGAGTTGCAGAAGGAAATTGGCTGGCCACAATGAGCGTAGGAGGAAAACAGCTCATGATTCTTCTTCTAAGAACTCTGCTCAAGGTACTCTCTTTTTGCTTTTTTAGTCGATTCTTTAATGTATATGATAGTGTTGTTTATGGTTAGTTTTCCTTCTTTTTTTCTTTTGCAGTATGTTCATGCTGACGCTGAACTTACTAGTTGGAAAGTGCATTTTATTACAATGATTTATGAATCTTCTCCATCAGCGCTTTGTTTTTTATGTCATTTATTTGCTTTTGATCTGATCAAGATTTCCATCTGCTGAGATGGTCACAGTTGAATCCCTGTAGTTTGAATACTGTGCTGATATTCAATTACTATTGACTAAACACATGAACGGACTATTGTTCAACTAGTGAGACTCGGAACTGTACTTAGTAGTTAGAAGTTAATTGTCTGAATTATGAACTCAGCTGAAAGTATGTTGTCCAGCAGATAATAAATTGATGACCGGGAGATTTCCATACCACCTATCGTCTTCAAATGGACGTGCTCACTCTCTTCTGTCATCTACATCTGATTCATGGATCTCCCCGTCTGATCTTTCCACAAGATCTAGTGCGGCCTTACGTGAGCTGATTGCTGAAAATCGTGCTGCTGTGCTGGCCGAGCAGCTTGTGCTCGATCGAGACTGGCATTTGAACCATGGAATGGAACATCTTGGAGATGCCCATCCTGCTTCCGACGTTCAGCAGCATCCTTTGTTTCCTCAGGGCTGGGACAAGTTCCAGGAAACTGGTGCTGGGTTGACATTGAATCTTATGCAAGCTTCAAGCTCGGCGTCCGGAATGTTGTCTGTGAGGGCAAAAGCCGAGGACGATGAAGAAGAGTGTTCGGAGTTGTGGAATTCCTTGGAGGGAACACATGTAGTGTGAACTGGAATTCCCATTGTTATTTGGCTTCTAATTGCCTATTTACCTGGATCATTGCTTGATTTTGCAACTACAATTATCATCACCTTTTTAACAGTAACTTCTTACGTTTGTTTAATTGTTTTCATATAGCTTTGTGTATCTCACCTATTCGGTTTCTTCATGAAGTCATCCTTCTACTGTATGTTAAATTAATGGATAACATCTTTTTTTTTCTTTAAACTAAAGCTAAAAATTTATTTTAATATTTTTTCAATCTTTCTAAACAATAATTACAAAATAAATTAAAAGAAGCTGCGAATATGTAAAAACTCCATCTTGCAGGAGAGATTCGATGATACCAAGAATGATCATAGTGTTTAGATCCATAGGAGAAGACCGACTGTTTCGATCCAAAGGAGAAGATTGTCAGTTTCTCTCGAACTTGGGCAATGAATTACACCAATTTCCCGAAACTGTTGAGGATGATACAGGCAGGCAGAAATCAAGATCTTGAAGAACTAATGCCTCTATCAGATTTCGATGATGACTCGTATTCTGCTTCAGTGTCGAGTTTCAGCTGATTTATCGATACTAGATAGCTGCCATTTTTGAGACTCTGATAGGGGATTAACTGGAGAGGAATGCGAGTGCTCCACGGCACAAAGTATGCCTCAATTTTTCAGTTTTTACGTAGGTAATGCCGCAGTCACGGATCAGGAGTGTATGTGCTGCTGAAAACTATCTTGGACAGTACATGGATTTTCCCAATCATATGGCAAACACAATCTTTCAAGGTTGAATTGAGGTCACAAAGTGATACGTTAAGGCCAGAGCTATAGCCAAAAAAAATGACTTTCACACAAAGAAATGGCAAAATCTAGATGTTTAAGTGGAGTTAAGATGCAGAGATCATGTTCACAAGTTTAGGAAGCTATTAATTTCAAGAATGCGGTGACAGTTAAGCTCGAAAGGTTCTCAAAGTTCAACAGAAATCCCGAGAAACTATTTGCAGAGGAAGTGGTGAATGCGGCGAGCAATAATGAAAGATGCAGCATATGAACTTTGCCTCTATGGCTCTCTTGTATGTTAGTGAACAAACAAAGATAGGTAAGATAAAAACGCATAATGTGTAGATTCAAAGACGTAGTTCTTCTCAAAACCAATGTTAACAGAGCAGTCAACAACGCAATGATTGATAAATTTTGTCCATGCTCCTTTATCTATCAGATGTTTCTGTTCAAATATAATTCCCACCAATTTCATTGTCACCTCCCTATAAAGAGCAATGTTCACATCAGACAGATATCACAAATCTGCAAATAAGAACAAACAATGGTAGTTTCAAATTAGGCGATTTTAAACATAAATCATCCATAGAAAAGATAAGTGTGCATGATGATGTTTGAGCTAAAAACACTAGAAGCAGCCTTTGTTTCTGTCAGTGGTGGCTGGCGAGCGGGAGGAGTGGGGCAGGGAACCAAGTGAAAACAAGATAAGTGCATTAAGCATAAATCTGAATGGTCTCGGAATATGATATTGACCTTCCTGACATTCAACTAAAGTAGGAAGGGAGAAAAACTATCAAAGAGAAGGAACTAAATGTTATTTACAGTCGCACATTTGCAAAAATGGAAACGGCAGCCTCACATAACTCGAGGGATAAAAAAATGAACATTTAGAATTCAGCCTTTGTGCAGCTGAATGCACTAGTGAAGAAGTAGCATGTTTGCATACAATAAATCACTACAATGCAAGAAATGGACCATGCTAAGAAATACATCATGTAGCCTGCTTCCTAAGTTACTGAAACAAAAAAATAAGAGATGAATAAAATTTCCATTTAGTAGCTTCTTCATCTTACAAATCCATCCTTTATGATTATCATGACAATCAGCTGTCTATTAGCAGTTGGCATAAATAAAGTGAAGACATAGTTGAAGAAACCTATGATCAAAGCTACCACACAGAATAGGATAAATATCATTTGTTACCACGAAGGATAGAGATAGACTGATATCTAATCAATTTTACTTACCATGGTTTATCTTTTAACGCCACCAAGGATCTAAGAACGCCAGGGCTAATCTTGTCAGCAAGGACACCTTTTTCTGATATCAAAAAGGATTTCTCCTTCACATAGCTTTGAAGTTTCTGAGCTTCAAGATCCAGATTTGTTTTATCTGAATAACAGCAAGGACAAGAATTAAACTTCAAAGTTCAAGCACATGAATCATGAACAAAACTGGGAAAATCCTAGCAATTATTAATTAGAATTCCGAATCATGCTCTATGCCCCCAATTACCATAATGTTACCGTGTTAGTGAAAACAATAACACCAACAACAATTGATTGAGTTGGCGTCAAGCAACAAAATCCAATCTGTTCTTCAACTACTCAACAAAGCTCTATACAGAAAGTGAAGAATAACTCCATTTAATTTTCTACATTAATTAAACACCAAAGTCTTAAAAATAATTTAACTTGCAAATCAAACCCGTCTCTAAATAGTGTGAGCAGCATGAAACGGTATCTTCGCAAAAACATCAGTTCCTGGGAACATCACCCATGTCCGCTCATTTGAGTCATGGTTGCCACAAGTAGCACAAATCTCCTTTACCAAAGGTCTTAATCCAGGGTTTCCAATATCCTTCATCATTGACTCAAAAGGGGATGGAACACTAGTTTTGTCGTCCGAGCCCTCTTCCTCAGTGCAGTAAGCGCTTCCCTGTTCCCATTCCTCGCTTTATCATTTTCAACCAGCTGCACTTACAAATTAATATGACTTTAAAACATTGAATTATTTAAAAATGGAAAAAAAAAACTTTAACTTGCACCAAAGGGTAGTCTATATTAACTTTTTTAATAAAGGAATGGAAGAAGCTATAATTTGTCGACCTGGATGAATAATTTTATTGGCCTACTCAGCCTGGTGAAGTTGTCTGTTCTAGAAATTGAGAGTCCGAATATAAACTAAGGCTTACCTGATGTCTGGCTAATAGCAAGTGTTCAGCTTCAGTTTCAAGTTCAATCAAACTTTGCTGCAATAGCTTCATATTCTCATCCATTCCAAATCCCTTAAAATTAACCCTTTACCTGAAATTGAACAACGTTCATACAAAACTGAAAATGGACAAAAATTCTAGAACTTTAATATTTAAGGCAAAATAAAGCTAGTACTTTTAATCAAGCCTTAAGAGTTAGATGGAAAATGAGAGGAACAAAAGGAACTTGCTTAGACTGAACAGTCTCCGGTTTGCTAATTCTATAAAAAAGTCGTAGATTGTATTGAAAAAACAGTGATAAATCAGGAATAAATCCAGTAACAAGGTTTATACGAGGAAAGATACCAGCGATAGAAACTGTAGCAAACTCCGCACTGCTCTCAGCTTTATCACAAAGCCTTCCGCAATTTCTCCAGGTAATATAAGAGTTATTTTACAAGAAATATTCCCAGATGATTAACCGAGTATATGAATTTGTTTTATACCATTCAGGGGGAAAAGAGAAAAAGAATAAAAATATGTAGGAAAAAACCCAGATGAAATAAAGCATTAGCAAATCAATTGGAGGAAAAACACTATTACCCATAAACGAAAATAGGATAAAGTTAAGAATGGTCACTAAACTCCTGAAATAATGTTTTTGATCACTAACCTTTCAAAAATTATACAATATGCATAGTATTTTGATTTTGTTACAAAATAGGCACCACCGTGACGCATAAAAATTGCATTAATCCTAGAAGAAAAAAAAACCCATATCAATGGGCCTTAAACGCTATTAGACTGTTACGCGAAATCCAAAGTCAAAAACCCAGTTCGGCACAGTGTATTTCTGCTGCGGAACGGTAGCTTGCACGACATTTTGGCTCCTCGTCTCCACGGTTACTGAACAATTGAGCTAAGGCTTCGAGTAATCGAGTGAAAATCCGAATTGCAGAGTTTGAAGCGTTTGGTAACAAGTCTTCGTCGTGACAGTCTATTCCGGTTCAAGAGAAACCTATCCCCTCTTCCAATCAATTCCTCTGTTGGTGATCTTCAAAATGAAGTCAGTTCACTTCTCTTTTGGAACCTTGAATTCGATCAATTTTAGGTATCGATGATATATGTACTTATGTATGTATGTGCACATAATGTTGTAGGTGCTTGTTGAAGGTAGAGCTACTTCTCGAATAGCGATTCTCCACAGACCTTCATCTCTCAATGCTCTCAATACAAACGTAGTAAAGTTCCTCATTGCATTTCAATTGCGTTTCGGAACTTCTGTTACGTTATCTAGGGTTTATTGTTTATATTCTTTCTATTAGATTAACAATTTACGGGGAAGGATTTCAATTTACAGTGCGCTAGGTTGCACGAACTGTACGCATCTTGGGAAAATGATCCAAATATCGGATTTGTGGTCATGAAGGTAATTTCGATTTTTTTTCTTTTAAAAGAATTAAGTGCTATATTAACGGTATAGTAAAATATTAAGTGACAACTGAGGAACTTCATTTTTGGGATAATTAAAGGGCAGTGGAAGGGCATTTTGTGCAGGTGGAGATATTGTTGCTCTATATCATTTGATAAATGAAGGTAAAAACTAGATGAATAAAATGAATGCTAAATAGATTTTAATATGTGAAGTATGTCTTTAAACATTATTTATTGGATGGTTGATTATTCATGGTTATTAACCTTTTAAACTGTCTTAGTGCAGGGAAGATAGAAGAGTGTAAGGAACTTTTTAGGACGGCTTATAGCTTTATATACCATGTCGGTACATATTTGAAGCCACATGTAAGTGTTCAGTTTCTGTTCTTTGTATATTAAGAATCATCACTTGTTGTTGGTGATTTTTTCTTTCTGAAGTTTATTGAAACAATATTTTTGTGTGGTTGTTCTGGTGAATTGATGATAGGAGATATGTATATTGGTTTTTCTTTTTGGTGGTGACACAAAGTAATGATTTGTTTCTAGTTGGCTATTTTAAATGGAATTACTATGGGTGGTGGAGCTGGAATTTCAATACCTGGGACATTTCGGCTTGC